TGCGAAATGAAGAATATGATGTTATGGATTTGATTTCAAATGGCAGATGCATTTTTTTCCAGTTGTATAATATTGAACTTTTAACTAACTCTGAGCGTGGGGTAGGTAGATAAAGATCTGGCTCCGCGTTCCTGAGTGGATAAGTGTGAGATGACCTTTCTTGAGAAGGTGATACATGCTTACGTATTAGGCAAACGGATTCAAATATAAATAAGGAAGAGTTAATATTTTTAATTTTTTAAAAAAGTCCTGGCAATGAGTTCTGCTGTTTAGTCCCAGTGAATGTCGAACAGCTCTCTTCTGGAGCTTGGAAATGCGGTCAAATTGAGTCGCACAACACGTACCCCAGAATGGAAGGGCATACCTGAGGTGCGACTCAAAAAGTGCATAATAAACAGTTCTAGCCACTGACAAGTTAAGCTCCTTAGAAACAGATCTTAACGCGAAACAGGCAGAGCTCAATTTTTTCGACAAAGTTTCGATATGCATGTCCCATTTCAGAGAATTGTCTACAATAAGCCCTAAGAATTTTACATATTTTACGACGTCAATGGTGGTGTTAAGTACAAAAGGCTGCAGCGAGTTTTTATACGACAAAGCTTTAGTTTTAGAAATGTTGAGACTGAGGAGGTTCGAATCGCACCAAGATTTATTGGTGATTAAGTCATTTGATATAATCCTATGAAGTACCGTGACGTCCTTGTTGCTCCAAGTGAAGCTAGTGTCGTCGGCAAAAAGACATATTTTGCCACTGATGTTTATGTTAGCAATGTCGTTAATAAAAAGAAGAAACAAAATGGGGCCTAGCACTGAGCCTTGTGTTACTCCACATTCTATTGGCTTGCTAGAAGACAACGTGGTATCCACCCTCACAAGTTGACTTCTGTTGCTCAGATACGACTTAAACCATTCGAGAGATGTTCCCATATATAATAGCATCATTAGGTACTTATTTAGAAAAAAGTTTGATTTCGACATCTAGAACGTATCAAAAGACTTTCTCACGTAAAAAAATAATTTTTTAATTATTGTTACTGAGGCCCAGTTCCGGTTTGGTTTGGTTTGGTTTTGGATGGTCAAAAAGATCTGAACCCTAATTGGTAGTATTAATTAGAGTTTCCAGAACCGTATTAAAATATTTTCGTTCAACGATTGTGGAGTTCGTCAGTTAGCAAGCAAGGGACGGTTCTCAAAAGTAAAACCGATAAAAATTGAGTTTCAAATGAAAATAATATCAAATTATTAAGTCATGAGAAAGCAACCATGAACAGAAATAATGAATACAAGCAAAAAAAAAACACATAGATAGCTTAAAAACTACATCAAACAACATCAACCAACCTGGAAATTAACTTAACTAAATTAGAAAAAAAATAACATTTTCAATTAAAGATGCAAATGCCTATAAAAACATAACACAAAAAAATATAACTAATACATTGAACAATAATATACTAAATAATAAAATAACATATTTAAACTTCAATAATAATTGCTAATAAACATTATAGAAACTTCAGAAGTAAGAACAGTATCAATAGCATCACTACTGATTTGGAAGAGTTTGATTTCGATTTTCGAAGTATCAAAAGTCTTTCGCACAAAAAATATGTTTTTAACTATTATTACCGAGTCCCGAAAGAACCGGAAATTAATAATTTCGAATCCCGGTACTTTGATGTCTCAAAAGAACCGGGAACTCCCCGTACTTTCGGTACCGGAATTTCCCGGTTGTCCGATGCCTAACTTCCACGTCTTCCGATCGTTCCATTGTCCCTCGCTTTCTGGCACTCATTGCTCTTGTGACACCCCCCTTCCAAGTCTTTTTAGGTCTTCCACGTTTTCTTCGATGTTGGGGTATCCATTGCATAATTTGTTTTAGAAGTCGTGTGTCATCCATCCTCTGGACATGTCCGTACTACATAAGTTGTTGGCGTTCGATGTCGGTTGCCAAAGATCCCTCTATTCCTATCCTCTCTCGGTTTTTTTCGTTTCGGACTAAATCCCTTCGGGAAATTCTTAACGTTCTTCTATAGGCATCCATTTCTACCGCTTCCAGTTTTTTTTTCGGTTCTCTGTACCATAGAGTAGACTGTTCTTTAAGTGCTGACTTAAAGAGCAGTCATATTTATTTCAAACCAATAATCAACGGAAATTTAACAAAATTACTGTAAACCAATATAAATACCTTGGTTAGGTTATGTTCAGAATTTTTTCCCTTCTTAAATTAGTTAACATTACTAAACATTTGCATAAAAATGTGTATTTGGGGTGGTATTGCACAACATTTGCAGGCTATTGAGGAAACAGAAAATGTACAGATTACAGAAATAAATTGAAAATAACATTTATATTAAAACAGCCTGCCCTTCAAATCCTCCAATTTAATAGCTGTTAGTAAGAAGTTTCACTTCAAATATGCGCAGATAGTGCACACACAATTATTTTTCATGTACAGGGTGGGTCAAATTCGACGCTGTTAAAGGGAACACCCTTTTCTATAAGAGATAGACGAAAACCAATATCGGTGTCTGGAGCTCAATTTTTATCAAAAACATGACGGTGAAAACCGCACATCCATATCTGTTACCGTTTGTGAGGTACGGGGTGTTTTTTAAAAATGTGCATTTTTAACAAATCGCTGTAACTTTTTTTCTATGGAAAATTTTGAATTTTTGTGAAAACATTTTCCAAATCACTTTTTTGCGTAGAATGGTTTAAGTATAATTTTTTTAAAGTTAATATTTTAAGAGTTATCAACAGAAAAATTGATTTTTAATTTGGGACACCGTGTATATTTTTAATTAAATGAAAAGAACTGAAAATTACCTTCCCAAAAATATAGCACACTTGATATTTTGTTATAGTCCTCTTCGAAATACAGAATTTTTATAAGTTCGCCACTTTTTTTTTTTTTTTTTTTTTTTTTTTTTTTTTTTTTATTTTTTTTTTTTTTTTTTTCTTTCTTTTTTTTTTTTTTTTTTTTTTTTTTTTTTTTTTTTTTTTTTTTTTTTTTTTTTTTTCCCAAACTTTATTATTTCAAAATTCAAAGTGTCACCCACCGTTTAACCGGAACGAAATTGCTAGAGGTGGCCGCATCTGCACCACCGCGAGGCGTTCGGCTTTCGTTGCGAATATCGTTTGAGTTTTCTTTCTTACGGTCCAAGTTTTCCTCGTCGCTCCGAGTGGAAGCGGCGCGGATGAAAAATCGCACAAAAAGTTCGATATTTCTTGCGGTTTTGTGTGTGTCGTCGTTCGCGGAATGCCGCCCCCGGAAACTTTTGCCCCATTGTCGTCGGAACTTATTGGATTTCGCACAGAAAGGACCCTGCGGTTTATTCTAAACCTTTCGAATCGCGATTTTGAATATTAAACGGTCGCTGACTAGGACGGTTTTTCGTTCGCGGCTGCAGTTATTTTTCTTATTGTGATTGCAATAAAAAATTGAAGTTATAAATGGCTTAATTTTTACGAAAATGCTCTACAATATGGTCCCGGAGCGTCTGTACAAGAGGTTAAATTTTTGTCTCAGGTACTTATACATTTTGAGACCCACTTTATTGCTGACTGTATTTAGTTCATTAATTTGTGCTTGTAGTTCTTCAGGTCTATTGGCAATTAGTTACGTCTATAAGAATTTCTAAATACTGATACTTACGGATTCGTAAAAACACATTTTTGTATCTCTATGTATAATCCAATGTAACCTCGTATATCAGTATGACTTTTTACATCCCAGAGTAGCGAAATCAAAGTGCATTGTTTATCCTTCTGTCGCCGAAACTTTATTATTTTAAAATTCAAAGTGTCACCGTTTAACCGGAACGAAATTGCTAGAGATGGCCGCATCTGCACCACCGCGAGGCGTTCGGCTTTCGTTGCGAATATCGTTTGAGTTTTCTTTCTTACGGTCCAAGTTTCCTCGCAGCCCCGAGTGGAAGCGACGCGGATGGAAAATCGCACACAAATTTCTTGCGGTTTTGTGTGTATCGTCGTTCGAGGAATGCCGCCCCCGGAAACTTTTACCCCATTGTCGTCGGAACTTATTGGATTTCGCACAGAAAGGACCCTGCGGTTTATTCTAAACCTTTCGAATCGCGATTTTGAATATTAAATGGTCGCTGACTAGGATGATTTTTCGTTTGCGGCTGCAGTTATTTTTCTTATTGTGGATTCAACAAAAATTGAAGCTACAAATGGCTTAATTTTTACGAAAATGTTCTACAATATAGTCCGGGATCCTCTGTACAATAGAATAACCTTTGGAACTGAAATTTCTTTACCACGCGCTGGGTGTAAAAATTCAAGGCCGCGACACCACACACGGCACACGAAAGAAAAAGTGGTGGGTTTTGAAAAAATCGTCCGATTTAAATGAAATTTGGTATGTCGATAGATTGGACCAAGGCCAACTTAACAGTTTACGACACGTGTCACTGTGACAGTTAGTTTTAACGTAAGAAACGTCAAAAGTTGATGTCGTCCGATCGCGACTAAATCTGGTGGGTAAGCTATGTGAGCGACGGTGCACACGGTTCCACCACAGATTGGTTCCACCTTGAAATTGAATACGGCGTTTACATCTTCATCAGGGTGGGACTAACGATTCGATATTGAAGAAAAATGTTTGAAAATAATATATAAAAATAATCCTTATTATTATTTGAGAATTGACTATTATTCATTTTATAACGTATAATTATTTTGCTCTTTTATGAAAGTAAGTGAGCACATATTTATTAACTTCAATGTTACGGGAAAGGTGATACTAATATCTTCAGAGAATTCAAAGAAAAATATCATAATCTTCCTGTATGTATTCCAATATTTTGTATACATATTTCAACATCCACATCGTCGTGTAAGCAAAAAATGTTTTAAAATTATATATGTGTATTTAGAAAAAAAAAAGATTCTTTTCTTTCTTTTGTTTTTCAACCTTGTCAAACAACTCCCGCACAAAAGTCAACCTAACCTACATTCTCCAATAAATTTTATAGGTCACTGGGGGCCGATTGTACCGCAAAGTGGCGATTCCTTGCCGCCCTCAGAAAACTTTCTCCCTGCTGGTCCACGAGGTGCCCATAGATCTGCCAGAGGATGACATCAGGGCCAGCCTGTATCGGTATAATTCTGTGGTAAGTTTCGATAGCAAATTTTCCGTTTATTTTTGTCGATTCGAAATAATAGAACGTTAGCAAGTAAAAACAACCTTCAAAACATCTAATTAAGATTTACAACAGCACAGGGTGTCCCATGGATTTCTCGTTTATAAGTAAAGCTACAAAGATGCGGTTTTAACATTACTGTGCAACTTTTTTATGAAATTAAAGATGCTACGTATACACACAGTGTAGTAGCATCTTTAATAGTGTGTTTATAATAATAAGTTGTTGTGTGTTTTGTGTATCTCTCTTCGGTATCTCGGTTATCTTATAACTTATTGAAAAGGTGAAAATTGAGACCATAGAGTTTTCACGTATTTGAGTGGTGCAGATGGATTTTCGGTGGTGTCCGCCGGAGTGTTTTGCGGTGACATACTCGTCAAGTCTACGTTGACTCTCTACCGCTTCTATTTAAGATTTAAGTAACGATTTATAAAATATATTGCTGTTTATTTAAATGTTTTTGCCCACTTTCCTTTCATAGACACAGATCCAGTAGACGTACTTTAGTAATAGAAAGAAACTAACTATTAATAGTAAGAAAACTAACAAATCTGTGTGTAGCATCTTTAATATGAAAACCGTATCTTTGTACATCTACTCATAAACATAAAAAAATCCTGTAAAACACACGAAAATTGGAAACCTTGTACTTTGGAAATTGATGGATGGATTTCTAAATTTTCTATAATTTTTATATTTTTCTTCATTGTGTAATTCTACAATCTATTGAAAATTGGTTCTCCTACACTGGGACACCAAGACAAAGCATAAAACTAGTGGGATGTCAATTAAGATGAACTAAACTAGTCAAACCAGTAAGAATCGTTTCTAGTGAAAAATAGCTCCAATTAAATTACTCCAATAAAACTGTCAAAAATAATCTCTGATATTAAATAACAATTAAATATAAATAATAATTCATTAATATAGCTATTTAAAGAAAATTAAAACAACATTATTTTTTTAACCATTGTTAAATAATAATTAAATCTATAGATCATATACCAAATGAACTTTTAGTCACGTGATTAAGCTTGACCGGCACAGTTTTACCCACTTTTACATATTTTCTTTTAATCAAAATATTTTAGGAAACACAAATAAATTAATTATAAATGTATAAACAATTATTATTTATATCAACAAAACGCACCTCCTTAACGTGCTGTTAAGAAGGCGAGTTTTATATAAGGGACATAAGGGCCCTTACTACCGCTTTATTGTTGAAATGTATATCTACCATATATGTATTATTGAAATCGTTAAGAAAGAACTCAAAGATATGGTACATAAGAAAGAACATGGAACATAAGAAAAGAGATAAAGATGTCTTAAGAAATGACTTGCTGTTGCATATGATCTTTGAAAATTGAAGAATTAATTTTAAAGTTAACAGATCTTTATTTAACATTCCAATTTATAACAGATCTTTGGGGCACCATCAAAGAATATTATAATTTTATTAAAATATTCTTTGGCACCATACATCTACTTTGGCATGTGTTTACATTTATTTATGCTCATACATTCATAAATGTTACTTTTTTTGTATATCTTCAAATTTGACGAAATGTTCTTCAGTACCTACATAGATGTCGTGTATTTATTATAATATGTTATTTAATCAGTGGCGTATTTACGTTTTTGATTTGGGGGGGGTCCAATAAAGAAAAAAATTATCACGCAATAGAAAAGTACCTATAATTAATATCTTTGATAACAAAAAATAGCTTAGGTATAAAAATACAAAACCAGATATAGAAATAAAAAACCGAACAAAAATAATACAACTTTTACAAAAATAATTAATTAAAAATAATCTAAATTAGTTTGTGATACTATTCCAAAAATGTTTTCAACATGTTCTATTTAGGAGTGCCAATCTACAGGATGTTTCAAAAATAAATGTGCCATCTCTCGTGGGGAAATTCCTCGCGTAAAAATAAGATTTATTTTTAATATGAATATAGCTCCGATTCTTCTTGGTTTTGTAGCTACAGGGTGTTAAAGTCTTAATATTTTTTCGATATATTATAATTTTCTTAGTACTTTCCAAGTACTTTTAGCGTTTTGAAGGAAATTTTGAGGGCAAAAGTTACTATAAATGCGACATATTTTACAGCTAAAAAATGTCGACATATTCACCAAGGACGTGCATATGGGTTATCAGTGGAATATTTTTCTAAAAAAAGCATGTACGCTACTGACCGTTACTGACTTTTTTCCTTTTGTTAGCGAAATGGTGTAAGCAGTTTAATGCCGATTAAAAGTTGTCTCTTTATATTTTGTCGATTTCGGCCTTCTTGGACTAATAGTAATAATATTTACTTAATAATAAATTAGGTAAAATATATAATTTATTAATTTTATTTTTATTTTAGTTTTATTAATTGAGATTAATAAAATTAACTTTTAATTGTCGTTAAACGGCCTACACAATTTTGATATCAAAAGAAAAAAAGGCAGTGGCGCACATGTTTTTTTGAAAAATATTCCATGGATAACCCATATGCACGTCCCTGATGAATTTATCGACACTTTTTTAGCATTAAAATATGTAGCACTTATTTAGTATAGTATATTTTTATATCTTGTATAGTAACTTTCACCATCAAAATTTCATTCGAATTACTAAAAGTACTTGAAAGAAGATTATAATAAATAGAAGGATTATTAAGACTTTAACACCCTGTAGCTACAAAACAAAGTAAAATTGGGCCTATGTTGATATGAAAAATAAATCTTATTTTTACGTGAGGAATATCCTCACGAGAGATGGCACATGTTTTTTGAAACACCCTGTATAAAGCAATAGTTGAATGAAAAATGAATATTAAATTATTTGTGATCTTTGCGTAAAGTCCTTTGGGGGTCCGGACAAGGGCGTAGATAAGGGGGGGTACTGGGGGACAGTACCCCCCTGACGCTTGACGAGAAACGAGAATTGAAATAGTCAGTGACTATGAAAGGATCTTTTTAATTAATATCCGACATATAAGAACACTTTGTATGCTTTTAATTATGTTGATTTATCGTTTATAATATGTTCGACCTAATTAAAAGCATACAGAGTGTTCTTATTGGCCATTGTGACAGATTAGTGGGGGTTAACTCTAATCAATATCCATAAAGATATTGAAATAAATGTTGATGCTGTTATTGATAGGTTTTCCAAACAGCGTACTAGAAAACTTGATTTTGTTTTGTAGTTTTATTTATAGTTTATAGTTTTTATAGTTTTTTTTTTTTGATAGTTTAGAAAGTTTTTTTTATTTATAGTTTATAGAAATTTAACTAATAAACGTCGTTGTTTCATTTTTGTTTATGTTATTTACAAATCTATATTTTAATTTTTGTGCTATGTTTTTATATATTTTTGAAGACAAAAAAATCGCCGTCGTTTTAATTCGACAAAAAAATTCCGACGGTGATTTTTTTGCGACTTAATCATAGTACCACCCCCATAGCATACACCTATCTACGCCCCTGGGTCCGGACCCCCTGGACCTCTTCCATAAATACGCCACTGTATTTAATAAAATGTTTATTTCATTATACACGGTGTTTTTAAGAAAAGTCCCGCGTAAAACCAGAGACTCCTCTATTGTAGTAGATTTTTCTAACTTTTGATCAATGACAAACTTTATTATTTCTATTATTATTTTCTGTAATACAGGTCGAAGTTACCCGACTACAATCCAGAATGGACCAACCTCCTGGCACACCGAATCCTATTAGATTAACTGTGGCCTCTCTGGACGAATTCAACACCCTTCTACAGCAAGGACTGGATTTCTACGGTGCCACCTATTTCCCAACCGAACCATTGAAGAAGGATCAGCTGAAAGGCAGCAGAGAAGGCAAGTCCAACATTATTCCACTGAGTTTCGTATTTAGTTTCATATAAAGTGCTTTCCGTTCGATCAGGTTTGCTTCCTGTCTTCGATTCGGCGGGATTTTCGAGAATACCTCCGCCTCCAAGCAGAACCTTGAAGCCAAGGGCCTGACTAGATGAAGGACTTAACAGTAAAAGACATGGATTTGGGAAAAATAGAATAAGCAATGGCGATTGGCGATCCGAGAAAATTTTGAAAAAAATTTGAAGAATTAACATTATATTTTTATTTGTATTTTTTCTTATTTCGATTTGTTTCTATTAGATGTTTAAGTACAAAATGGATAACAGTTAACTATTCTTTGTTTGTTTTTAAGAAGTGAAATTATAATTATCAGTGCACACTAGTTAGAAAGATTATTATTTAATAAATGAAGATTTATTGCAGAGTTTGATATTGTTTTATTTTATTACTAGCGTGTACCAGCGACTTCGTTCGCGTCGAATTAATCATTTGTAATGATGATGATAAAGCAAAGCAAGAATTTCCATTAACATACAAACTGGATAAAATTTTCTCACATTTATGTCAACATGAGAAAAAACAATATGGCGATATTATTCTATAACTTGGTAATATATGAGAGGTAGTTTCATCTCGTTCGAATTTGACTTTCGAAAAATCCGTTTGCCAAAAATAAGCTTTTTACGTCAAGCAGTTTAAGCAGAACCGTGGTTACAAAATTACCCAACTTTTTGGAACACCCTGTATGATTTTTTAAAAAATTTCAAATTATGTAAAAAAACCGAAAAAAACCAATTAAATTATGCTTGTCCAAGCATTTTCCCGAAAAACTAACCGTTTTTTAAATAACAAATATTGTAATATTTGAGGGGCGTTTTCACCCTCTTGGAATTTGAGATTTGAGAAACCCCTCCTTATCGAACCTCTACACCCCACAGTCAATCCGTTTGCCAAAAATCAGCTTTAAACGTCAAGCAGTTTAAGCAGAATCGTGATTACTCAATGGTCATACTTTTATGAAACACCCTGTATAAATTTATAAAAAATCTTAAAATATGTAAAACAACAAAATAAAATATACGCGTTTAAGAGTTTTTTCGAAAAAATTTTAATATTTGAGAGATAGTTTCACCCCCTTAGAATTCGAGTTTCGAAAAATACCTACACCCTAAAGTCAATTTGTTTTCCAAGCAGGATCGCGATTAATCAATGACCAGATTTTTCGAAACACCTTGTATACATTTTTAAAAAATCTTAAAATATGTAAAAAAACAAAATGAAATATACGTGTTTAAGCGGTTTTTCGGAAAACATCACCGTTTTTTAAATAAAAAATATTGTAATATCTGAGGGGTGGGTTCACCCTCTTGGAAGTGGAATTTCGGAAAATCCCTTCTTATCGAACCTCTACACCCTAAAGTCAATTTGTTTTCCAAAAATCAGCTTTTTGAAATTAATCAATGACCAGATTTTTCGAAACACCTTGTATACATTTTTAAAAAATCTTAAAATATGTAAAAAAACAAAATAAAATATACGTGTTTAAGCGTTTTTTCGGAAACATCACCGTTTTTTAAATAAAAAATATTGTAATATTTGAGGGGTGGGTTCACCCTCTTGGAACTGGAATTTCGAAAAATTCCTTCTTATCGAACCTCTACACCCTAGAATCAACCTGTATGCCAAAATTGAGCTTCTTACGTTGAGTGGTTTGAGCAGGATCGTGATTAATCAGTATGTCACTTAAGGATTTTATATATTAGTATAGATTATAATAACAAAATAAATACACTTAAGGATTCTTTATTCAAGTTGGTGGTTGGAACCTTTGATGTTACAACAGCGAAGTAAATCACTAATTCTCCACAATACAACAATCGTGGTGAGCAGTGGTGACTCGTAGTCATTATTGTAGGGAGGTCAATATCTAAAAATATTGCGTCGAATTTTTTTAAGACGCGCCCTCGGACGCGCCCAAATTTAATTGGTTTCTTACAAGGTACTTGTACGTTTAGTTAAAGGAAAATAAATCTAAAAATAAATATAAATTCTAGTAAAATAAAACCTACCCTTACATTTTTAAACAGGTGGTTTTACACAATTTTTCGACGGTAGGATTTAAAAGAAGATTTGAATACTAATGTCACAAAAATATAAATGCATATATACACATACACATACACAATTCTAAAAGTTTAATTTCACATTTTTTTTATATTTAAGTCAATGCGACATTCTTTCTCTAAACGTTTTTCGAAATTTAACCAATTGTTTTCTTTTAACCGCACAATTTCACAAACTAAACACCATGTTATCTATTTTAAAATATCTATTCCAGAATCGGTCAACCACAGTTCATCATTTATCCATAATCAGAAAATTATATGAATTGTTACCTACACAAATATCGCGCTACACCTTGAACACTGGCTACGACAACTAAAACTAGATGGGATTTCTTTCGATATTAAAAATGTAAATATTGCTTTATATTGATTAAACCAAACATTATACGCGATAAACGATACAAAAACCTTTTTGTTTTTTATAATTGAGTTTTTATAAACACACAAACTGCCCAAACAGTGAAATTTTTCCAGCGATATGACTGAAATTCTTTTATGAATGAGGCGGTCGATGGCCATCAATATAAACTGTATCTATCGCACCTTAACCCAATATACAGGGTGGTCCGAATTGTATTCCGGAAACTTCGGCAGCATATTCTACAGATAAAAATAGGCAAGAAAGGTGGTATAAATGTATGTCCTAAAATGCTTAGTTTCGGAGATACAGGATGTAGAAATTTCATTTTTATTTCGATTTTTTCCAATAATTTCTAAAGTAACGTCAATATTTAGATGAAAATTGGTGTCTGGGAGCTTTTTGACATGAGAAATTTGATTTTGATGTCAATATGACTCCTACTGGTAGAGGGCGCCACCTACATGTGTTTTAACTTTTTTGTATGCAATAATTTTTTGTCCGTACCTGTATAAAACTACCGAGGAAAAAAATATACATCTCTGTGATTTTTTACGTAAAAAATACCTCTTTGTAAAAATCGCTACGAGCAACCGTTCTCAAGATATTTAGAATGGAAATAGTCAATACATGCCATTATTAACGAAAAATAAACACGTTGAGTAGATAGTTATTTCACTGAAATAATAAATCTGGAAAATTTTAATTTTTTTAAATTAATCATTTTTTTTCTGCAAAAAAATGTTGATAAAACATTTTTTGTTGAACTTTCGGTACAAAAACATTTCAAATTTATTATCTCAGTCTAATAACTATTTAGTCAACATGTTTAATTTATGTCAGTGATGACAGGTATTGATAATTTCGATTCCAAATATCTCAAAAATCATTACTCGTAACGATTTTTACCAAGAGACCTTTTTTACGTAAAAAGCGTCGTAAATGTATATTTTTTTGCTCAGTAGCTTTATACAGGTACGGACGAAAAGTTATTACTCTTCAAACCAGTTAAAAAATATGTAGGTGGCGCCCTCTACTAATAGCAGTCATATTGACATCAAAATCAAATTTCTCATGTCAAAAAACTTCCAGACACCAATTTTAATCCAAATATTGACGTTACTGCAGAAATTATTTGGAAAAAATCGAAATAAAAATGAAACTTCTACACCCTGTATCTCCCAAACTAAGGATCTTTGGACATATATCTATACGAACATTTTTACTTATTTTTATCTGCAGAATATGCTGCCGAAGTTTCCGGAATACAGTTCGGACCACCGTGTATTTTCTATACGTAGTATACCTTACCTCAATGGCGTCACGAGTCGCGGCATTTGGAGTTTAATACGTGCAAAACATAGCGGAAACGAAGGACAAAATGAAATTTTGACCGGCTACAACAACTTTGAAACATGCGTCAAAGAAAAACATGTTGAGAATTTCACAGAAAAGGTATTGCTAACTTATTTCCTGAAGTTATCCACTACCTTAAAGCTGTCAACTCTGTGGAGTAAATATTCGATGCTCCGCACCATGATTTACCTGAACAGAAACGTATATACTAGCAAATTCACCAACCTTATTGAATAAAAAGAAAAGCTTCCGAATAGCAGGCAAAGAAATCAAAAGTATTTACAAAACTGAACATAGAACGCTTTATGAAAGAAGCCGATGACAAAGAATTCCTGTTAGCTAAAGCATGTAGAAGGGAAGAAATCACGTTTTCGACCGTAGATGCCATTACCAGATTGTCAGTCATTTATTAGTGTGAAGATTCCGAATACAAAAACTCATTTTTCAAGAGTATTTACAATTACTGAGGGACCAATAGATGGTATCACTTTCTTACATGTATTTCGTAAGTACGCAAAACTTCGACCACTCAATGTGACACATCAGCGATTTTTCTTGACGTATCGAAAAAATCAATGCTGTACCCTACCATTTGGAATCAATACAATTGGGGGTATGCCAAAAAAGATAGCGGAATTTATTGGACTGTCCAACGCCATTGAATGGTCACACTGGTCATTGTTTCCGGCGCAGCTCTGCAACAATGCTGGCAGATTCAGGAGCGGACATAAGTTTTAAAGCGACATGGAGGTTGGCGATCAAGCTCAGCTGCTGAACGTTAAATTGAAAATTCAGTTGATCAGAAAACCGTAATAGCAAAAAGAATCATGGGATAGAAAGATACGCCAAATAAGAAATTAAAAGCAGTTCACGTAGAAGCAGAAGCTACCAGCATTGCCAGTACAAGAAGTTTACTTATTCCGACTCCTACAACTTGCATTTTTCTTAGAGACGAAAAGTTGGATGTCTCTTGTATTCACTTTAATAACACAAGTTTACAAATTCGGGTCAATTTTTGGACCCGAGCAGATGAGAACGATTCTTAACGCTATTTGATGCCCTCAACACAGATCTTTAATCAGTTTGTCAAGATTGGCTCTAGTTTTCGGTGTGACCGAGTCGTACCCACTATGATCCAGGACAACAAAATGTGTCCTCCACTTGTAAACCCACAGGACGTTTTACTGCCACCTCTTCACATTAAACTTGGCCTTATTTAGAACTTTGTCAAAGCGCTCAATTGCGAAGGGCCGGCTTTCCAGTACTTAACCAAGTTGTTTCCAAAACTGTCATACGCAAAAATCAAAGAATGAATATTTGTCGGACCTGATATTCGAAAACTAATGGCTGAGGCAACGTTTACAAAATGTTTAACGCTTAATGAGGCAGCAGCATGGGCATCGTTTCAAAGTGTTTCACAACTTTCTTGCTAATCATAAGTCACCGGATTACAAGCAAGTAATCGCCAATTTGTTGCAAAATGACCACAAGATTGGAGCTCGAATGTCTCTCAAGATACATTTTCTGCATTCACATCTTCATTTTTTTCCACAAAACTTGGGCGACACGAGCGACGAGCAAGGA